CGTTTATTCAACTTATCGTATTTTCTTTATCTTCGCAATTTCTCGTAGGTTTATACGATTCAAGGAAAATTTCTTTGTAACGGTTTTTTGCAGAAAAATTGCATGATTATCTATTATTCGCAGCGATAACATGACTTGACAACACCACAAACATGATTCTGTTGATAATCAGTACATTACTACTGTACTGGTCTTCAGCAGAAGATTTGGACGATGAAAATTGGTAACTTTTATGATTTCTTTTTTTATTTTGTTACAAATTAGGAATGGTTCCAGCTTGTACGGGATATGTCAAACAGCTATGGCACCAAATCTGACAATAGAACCTTTTGGAAGTGGCAGATGTACGGGAGACGACGCTATCATAGGTAAGGTCTTTTATTTAGTATAAAATCAGCTGTGGAGAAAGTTTTTTTCAAAATTCAGATCATATTTTAAACGGCTATAACAAACTGGAATTGCCGGGTGGTGGACATGTACGGGTTTCCGTCGAGGTAAGAACCATTCTAATATCTATCTGCAGAAGAAGGCTATTTTTTATTGGCGCAAAGCGGCCGCGAAAGCGGCAGGCACCTATCATTGACGCGCGCACGATGCAGGAGGACGAACCGCGTGCCGCGCTGCGTACGCTTTGCTTATAAAGACACCCGCCTTCGTTTGGAGTTACGCTGTACATAGCCAATCAGCTACAAATATTTCAGATCTGGGTACAAGAAGTGTCAAAAATCATAGAAATTACTTCCGAATTCGAGTTAGACATCTATGTAACAGAACGCTGGACAGATCCTGCACTTGCTTACGCCCACCTAAATCCGTGCAAAAGGTAAATTGCGTGAGATTGCCTGTCATGTACGCAAATGAACCAAAAGGGTTTAATTTCTATTTCAGTAACATGTCAGTAGATGGTCGTACAATACTAGAAAAGATATGGAATCCACATGCTTGCTTTGTGAATAGTAAATTAGCGAATATCCACACGAGCCCGTTCAAAAATATCTTCCTCCAAATCTATAGCAATGGCAGTATATGGCACAACTACCGTATCAAACTGACTGGACCATGTTCGAACACATTACGGTAGGCGTGAACTTTTTAGGAGGATTACTGTGGGTAATTCTGTTTGGTAAAAAAGTTTCAATTGAACTCCTTTTGGCAACTCCATATTTTTTGGAAAATATATTTGCTTTTTCTTTGGCCTGGTTTTTGTGAACGGACCAAAATTTTTTTCTGAACAAGGTGGGATAGAGATTGAAAGTAGAAAAGTAAAGAAGTTTTTTAAGAGGCCAAGAAGAAAAACGGAAATATCTTTTGATTACTCACGTACGCCCGGACGTTGCCTAAATTCAAAACTACGTAAAATTTGTAGATAAAGTTTGTTTATAACAAAGTCTATTTTTGAATTACGCATCATTACGACATTTTACAGAACGTTTCCCATCGATCAGCAGAGGTGTATGTTGTTCTACGAGAGTTTTACACATAACCATGACCAGGTAGGGTAGTGATTTTACGAAGAAAGAGCGAGTGCTTGATTGAAACGATTATTTTGAGGTGGAGATGGAATGGATTGACACAGTACCGCCTATTACTATTTTGAAGGGGAATATTACACTGCCTGATTACGTTTTGGTGGATTTCTCAGCAAGCAGTGAGTTAAGAGTGAGTTTTAATTCATATTTCATTAGTATCAAATTTTTGTTCTAAACTACTCCTAAGAAGCAATCAAAGAAGACAATTTGAATCTTTATCGGCTGAAAGCATTCACTTATAAACTCTGGTATGAGGAAAAAAATAGACTAACGACTATAACGGCTGCTTGCGCCGATCACAAAAAAAAATTT